TACCCAGTGGGCAGCCCTGTGTGTGTGACACTGTGTCAAAATTATATATATATATTGGCATTACCAGGGACCCAACTCATAACCCTGCACTTTCCAGGCAGGCATTTATGCCAATGCCACTGAGCTATCTCACTGGCCCCTCAAATGTATAAATAGACGCCCCCGCAGGGACTGGTCAGTTTCTTTCTTTCCATCTGGAGAGAGAGGGCTCCGCCTGACCCAGCTTCCATCACTTGTCCCTATTTCTTGGTCGTCTGTTTCCCCCGTGAACACTGAGAGCTGTGTGGGACACAGGGAGATAGGTCAATTTCTAGTCGAAGAAAACACAGCATACTTTCTGCTCTTTTTTTCTCAGTCAGATTTCATTGGGAATTTTAGGTGTACACAATGACCTTGCTCATCATAGAGAGCTTGCGCCTGCCCGCGCCATAACTCGGTGCTCTCTGTCCTGCACACGCCATAACTTGGTGCTCTCTGTCCCGTCCCCGACCCTCACTCCAGCTTTCCTCTCCTCACTTACAAAAGCTTTGCTCCTGCTTTTTCCTTTTCTCATTTCTTTTGAACTTTTCCTTTCCTTCCACCCCCCCTCCCCATCCTTGATCGCTTCTCTATTTAAACTTCTTACTTCACAATACCTGTCACACATCTGTCCTTATTTACATGTTTGGTTTCTTACAACAGAGAAACTGCATGAAGTTTACATGTGTGGTACCAGGGTACCACGCCCACTTAGCTAGAAACTTCTCCAGCATATCCTTCTTTATGGCAGAGTAGTACTCCTTCGTATTAAAAAAACTACATTTTCTTTACCCATGTACCACCATGTAATTGACGTTTCGATTGTTTTTAAGCTTTAGCTGCTATAAACTGCACCAGTATAAGCCCAGGTGGGCGTGTGTCACTGAGGTGTGATGTTGTTAGTACTTCTGGAAAGACGTCCTGTAAGGAAGTCATTAAGTCCCCCAGACTTCTAGTCCTGTGAGGACCCTCCACGCTGCTGTCCACATCCGGCCCGGCTGCACCCCAGCAGCAGCGGAGAAGGCTCCTCCCACAGCCCGCCCGCATGCGGTGTTCAGGGACTTCCTGGTGACAGCCGCCCTGTCAGGGTGCGGCGGAGTCCTGGGTTGTTGTACTTTGCGTCTCTCGATGACCAGCGAGGCTGAGCACTCTCCCATGTGTTCATTTGCTGCTTTTATCTTCAAGTCGGAACATTTTTCCTGGCTGCTGTGTTATAGGGACGCACCGAGATCCACATAATGTACATTTTGGATGAAAGATGTAGTTTCTTGTTATTTAACACAAGGTCAGTGTAGCCATATTGTGAGAAAATCTCCGTATCCGTCCTGTAAAGGTCCGTACCCCAGCCAGTGAGACCCTCTAACACCTATAGGTAACACTGTTCTGTGTTTTCAACTTAAGAGTTAAAAAGGGGGCTGGTGAGATGGCTCAGTGGTCTAAAGCACCTACTTAGAACAAGCTTAGCAAAGCACAGGGACCGCGGTTCAATCCCC